GTGGGGGGTTGGGGCAGGGCAGGGAGGGGACTGGGGAAGTGCGCACACAGGCCCACACAGACACATGCACCCACAGACACAGAGGGAAGGGGTCAGGATGGGGAGGGGTGCACAGCAGGGCGGAGTAGGACCCCCACAGCCCCTCCCCAAGACAGCCTCTCCTCCCTTATACTCCCTTTCTCCTCCCGTTCCCCACTGTAGAAACAGCGTGTTTATATTTTATGGCCAAACTGTCGAATTTTGTTGTCCAGCCCAGTGCCCTGCCCTCTCCCTTTCCAGGTCCACAAACTCCCCAATCTCTTGTCCTCTAGTCCTCTCCCTTGTTTCTTACGTAGTTGGTTCTCTCCTCTTTAGTCTCCCCGGACCTGCCCCCAGCTCCCTGGCCCTCTCCTACTCTCTGTGGCAGTTTCATATTTGCTAAGACAAATTTGCTCATTAAACATTTTGTTGTATTTTACTTTATGGAGCTGCTCTGTGTCTGGTGTGTGTAACCTCGAGTGTTTCCTTGGCTCCAGGCCAAGTCGTGGCTCCAGGAGGCCCGGTTGTCCCTGACCTCTGGCCCCTGGTACCGGTGCCCTGGTGCCCTTGGCTCACCCCAGGGGCACACCCTGCCTGCTCCTCTGGCCACTCCTCTGGGCAGGCATAGGGCGTGGCCCCGGAGAGGAGGATCAGACTTCAGACCTCTACGTGGGCTCCCGCGCCTGCACGGGACGGGGGGAGACCGGCCTCGCGGGACCGGGGCTGGCGTGGTGGCGGTGACGCGCGGGCTGGGGATACCTCGGCGCGCGTCCGTGGGGCCTTACGGTGGCGGCCGACGGGCTCACGCCGGAAGTGACGCCGTGAAGGTGGGCAGAGCTGCGGAAGCGGCTGATGCTCAGGCTCGCTTCAGGCGGGGCGAGTGGCTACTTCCGCTTCCGGTCCGTCGCCTCTTTCGGTTGCTTCCCGTCCGCTCGGCGGTTCCCCTCCCCCGCCCGGCTCTCTGCCCCCGACCCGGGCGCCGGGGCGGCGGGGCCGTCGTAGTGCGGCCCTCCGTGCGTCCGCGCGTGCGCCGGAGCGCGCCTCCGCCTCCGGCTCGGCGCGCGCCCCGCGACACCGAGGCCGAGCGGGGGCAGGGGGCTGCCCGCCATGACCCCCCGGAGCCCGGCGTGAGGGGGCCGAGGTGAGCGCGGGCCGGGGCGCTCGGGCGTCTGCCGGCCTCCGGTCGTCTCCGCGGCCTTCATGTCTTTGCGCCCGGTCGGCCTGGACCGCCCGCGTCTTTCCGTCTCCGGCGTCTGGCTCTGTCAGCGCCTCCGTCTCCCGCGGGTCCGCTTGGGCCTCGCTCTTGCTCGTGTCTCCGTCTGTTTTGCTGTTTTTACAAAACACTGTCCCCGTGTGTCTGCCCTGGGTCTCGGTCTGCCTCTGCCTTTCTGTCATGTCTCGTGTCTGATGGTCAGGATTAATGTTCGTGTCTCTCTTGCTGGGCTTGCATGTCTTCAGTTCCCCTGGTGTCTTCTCTCTCTGCCTCTGGTGGTGCTCTCTGCCGCTGTCTTCCCATCTCATTTTTGCCCTGTCCCCTCTTCTCCCACCCCGAGTCCCCCTCCGCGGGTCTGTGGCTTGTTCTAGGATCAACCCCTCCCCTGGGCTCCTGAGACTGGTGGTGAAGAGCCTGGCTTTACAATCAGACCCACCGCTTGCTAGCCTGTGATATGCCAGGTGACTTTTATCTCCACATCTCAGTGTCCTAGCCTTTAAAATTAGGGTGTTCACAGTTCTACTCATAGGGCCTCTGTGCGTTTTGATGGAGACGATGCATGTTAAGTGCCCAACACTGTCTGGCAGGTAGAAAGTACAGTGTAATTAATGACGGGGAGTTCTGGTTTCCACAATTACAGATTTTCTGTTCCACAAATGTTTGATATCAGTCATTTGAGTACCCCTTGCAGATTTTTGCCATATCATTTGTCTTCTGTTTAATAATACTCTTGAATCAAGGTATTTTGAAAAGCTTAGTCTCATTCTAAGCAGCACGTGTGAAATCTTAGCGTTCAGGAGTTGTGTATTTTTTCTCACATACTTTAACGTAAATGCATCCTTTGATCCCACTCTTTGGGAAACGTGGTTTTTTTCTGATAATGATAGCCAATGTATTGAGCGCCTACTATCTGTGTGGCACGGCACCAAGCACTTTATGTGCCCCTGTTATTTCATCAACAGGCTGCCAGGTAGGAGGTCTTCCCTTAATTTCAGAGTGGAGGTTGGTCTGCTGGGAGCTGATGTCAAGACTTGGTGTTCTTTCCGTTATATCACAGTTTTCTGATATTTCTCAGTCTCTTTTTGTTTCAGGGCCTTTTCTCCTTGTCTTTCTGCCACACTGTCTACACGTGTCTCTGTCTGTGGTTGTGTCTCTGTCTGCCTCACCATGTCTCTGGGTGACTCCTCTGTCTCTTTCTCTTTGTACCTCTTTCTCTCCTTGTCTCCCTTACTCCCTTGCCTTTCACTCTCTGTTTTTGTCACATCATCTCTTCGTCTTAGTGTGTCTGGCTGGGCCTGTCTTGGCGCCCTGGCTATCTCTTTTCAGCTATTCACGTCTGTCTCCTAGTGCCTGGCCCTCGGCCTGAGTTCAAGGCAGAGGCCAGCTGCTGGCCCCAGGACTAGGGTGGTGGGAGGGCTCAGGCGATCTCTGTCCGGGGCTTTTGGAGAGGCTCTAGGTTGTAGTGGTCAGAGCCTGCTTTGTGCCGGGGCAAACACATCCACCTCTAAGTGCCACAGTTTCCTCCCTGGTGAGGTGGCTGTGAATCATGGACTTGTGAGGATTAATTGGTTACTGTGTGTAAAGTATTTAGGAGAGTACCCTGGCCCAGGGTCAGGGCCGTGAGAGTGCTGAGATTGTCATCATTTGCCTGATTCCTGCTCATGTGTTCCTTTCCTGTCACGTTTATCTTGGAAAAGGTTAATTTAAAAGTATGTTTTGGAATTGAAGTGGGCCTGGGGTTGTGTCTGTGCTGCCAGGCTTAGTGGGGACCTTTGCTGAATTATTTAATCTCCATGGGCCGGTCTGTGTGAGAAGACCGGTCTGTGCCCTTGGTGTTAAATGAGATAATGCTCAGTGAGTGCCTGGCACACAGCTGGGATACAGCCTATGGTTGTGTCATTCCTTATCTTGCCTGCCCTGAGCCTTGTCTCAACAGCCCCGGCAATGCCTGCCAACCTCTTTACTCCCTTCATTGGCCTCCTCTCCGTGTTTCCTTGTTTCTGTCGTGGATTCTGCCCCCATCCACCCCTGCTCCAGAGGTCTTTCCTGCCCTCCCTCCTTCCCTTCCGGTTTATTGAATGGCTCTTCCGGGCCAGCTCCTCTGATGGGAAAAGCCATATCCAGACAAACGTGGTTTCTACCCCCACGGGGCTCGTGGTGTGTCAGCCTTAGCCGCAGAGTCAGACAAATGAGTATACGATCACCAGGCCAACGGTCTACCCACAGGCCCCCTGGGAATGTAGACTTTGGAGTTCAGGTGTTTTAAGATTTGGGAAGCTTAAGTGGTGCCCTTGGAGCAAGTGGGAGTGACCTGGTGAGGGAGAGGAAGAGCAGGGTGACTTACTCAAAACACCGTGCACATGGGTTGTGGACTCCCCAGTTCTCAGCTCTCTTGGTTACTGAACGGAGCCCCATTTTACAGAGGAGAAAACAGAGGTGCAGGAGTTCTCAACCCACCCAGGCGGCTTGGCCAGGAAGTGTCATGCTGGGGTGTGCCTCCGGGACCTGTGATCTGTCACTGTATGCTCTGCTTCGCTGAGCAGGGGCCCTAAGCAGGAAGGAGCTGGGCACATTTGAGGAACCAAAATGGACGGGGTGACTGAGATGGAGGGTGACAAGGTCCAGAGCCTTCTAGGCCACGGACTGCATCCTAGAACTGCATCCTCGACCTGAGGAGCACTAAGGGCCTCATGAGGGTGGGGATTCAGCCTGGGTGGCCCCAGGTGCCCCTTGAGTTTTCAAAGTCTTCTCATCTCTTCAGATGCAGTGATCCGCCAGCCCCTGTCGTGGCCCGGCCTTCCTCTTCCAGCCACCCCCTCTGTCCACGTCCCTGAGGGCCCACCACCCTCATCCCTGCTGGCCACCATGTCGACCTCGTCACTGCGGCGCCAGATGAAGAACATTGTCCACAACTACTCAGAGGCCGAGATCAAGGTCCGCGAGGCCACGAGCAACGACCCCTGGGGCCCGTCCAGCTCACTTATGTCTGAGATCGCTGACCTCACCTACAATGTCGTTGCCTTTTCGGAGATCATGAGCATGATCTGGAAGCGGCTGAATGACCATGGCAAGAACTGGCGGCACGTCTACAAGGTCGGTGGGCATGAGCACAGCATGCAGGTGGTGCTGCAGCTCTGTGTCTGTAAAATCTCTACTATAATGGCTGCCACAGACATGACGTTTCAGGGTTTTTGAACCTGATGGTTTAAGCTTCTTTTAGAAGAAGTGGCGCGTTCACAGGATGTACCCACCTGGAAGGCATAAGCAGGTGCCCAGTTCCCTCCCTTGGGGCAGCCGTGTCCCCAGCTTGTCTTCCTCTGAGGCCATTCGTGTGTGCACATTGGAGCAAATGGGTAGCCCCTGGGAACTTTTGGGGCCACATCTTTCATTGTGGGGTGGTCCCTTGGCTATACGCAGTTGTCAGAATTCAGAACTGTACAATAAAAAGAGTGAATTTTATCATACATTAGTTGCACCCTAGTTTTAAGTAGGAAAATGAGACTAAGTCCTAGAGATCATTCCCCATAGGATATAAAAGGTTTGTCACTTTTTTTTATAAGGGTATAGCAGTCCACTATGTGGGTTGATCATAATTCATGTGACTAGCTACCTCGTGTTGGATTCTTAAGTGGCTTGCAATGTTTTGCTTTTACAAATACGACTGCCTTAATTATCCTTGTATGTTTGTCATTTTTTAGAACTGGAATTTCTGGTTTGAAGGACACATGTGTGTGTCATTTTGATAAATGTGGCCAAAGTACCCTCCACAGAAGTGGCCCATTTACTCACCCTCAGTGATACGTGTACATACCCTGATTCAGTGGCCAGACAGACGAACCGCAGGCTTTGGGCACAGAGAATAAGTTTTTGTTTTGTTTTTAACCAGCTGAGCCATCCTACCACCTGTTGGCAGCTCAGCGGCAGCTTAGCTCGGGCGCAGCATCACTGGCCCATGTGGGAATCAAACCGGCAGCCCTGTTGCTCAGAACTTGCACTCTTAAGCTAACTCTTAACTAACTGAACCACTCAGCTGGCCCACAGGGAATAAGTTTGCAGGCAGCCCTCAGTGGCTGTGTTCCCACTGCTGCTCTGGGGACTTGGCGTCCCCAACTCAGATCAAGAAGTGGCCAAGGGCACAGGCTGGGGCAGGTGCCTAGGCTCCACTTCCGGCAGTGTGGCCTCCAGCCAGTCCCTGGACCTCTCTCCCTGTGAGGGTCCGACCCCGGGGTCAGGGCCAGCAAGTCCAACTCAGGAGGGTTAGTGGGGCCTCTTGTTGCTGACTCTTCGGTGTAAGTCGGCTGAGGGCCTGCTCTGGCCGGGCTCTGTCCTGTGGAGGCTTCAGTGTTTTGCTCATTTCCGAGATGGGGAGACTGGGCCTGGAGAGGTGGCCCCACTCAGAGAAGGGATCCAAGGCCGGTTTCCTGTGGCTTGGCTCCCTTCCCACCCAAGGTTGGGTCAGCTATTTGATTAACTCATGGTTTCTGGGTGAGCATTTGTTAGGAGGTGACTGGGTCATGACTTGCAGGTCTGAAACGAGGAGAGCAGCTCAGGAGGGCTGGAGGTGAGTGCTGAGGGGCCCTGGATGGCAGGTTCCTCAACGGCAGCTGGAGAAACACTGCTGTGGGCAGAGGAACAGTGGCGGTACCGTATTTCCCCATGTATAAGATGCTCCCATGTATAAG